ATATCGAACGCGTGCTGCGCGTCTATACAATGTATGCTGGAATTCGAAACGCTGCACGCGTTCGATACGGACGCCTTTTACGTTCTTATGAAGGACACGCCCCTTTGTGGGAGTACTTTATAACGTTCCATTGCCTGTATACAAAATAAGAGCAGTCGGACGTCTTGCAGTTTTAACTCTTTGGTGGACGTTTGACGCGTAACAAATAGAAGCGTCGATTTGGCACAGAAAAGTAATCAGTTTTGGGAGAGGGCGTCCTAGTCGTTGCCATGGGTCCGAGATAGGGTGTTCGCGTTACGCCATAAGTTCGTTACCAAGTACGTTAATTTGTTCCTTATGTTCTAAAAACAGGGCGCATTGTAAAGGACGCTTCTAATTGTTACGCGTAAACGTAAAGTCGCGCGGCGTACACTATGGTCAAGGTTCAAAAGTTTTCAATTTTGCAAGAGGGCGCCGTTCATGCGTTATTACAGAATTTGCACGCGTAAATCGCAGAGAACGTTATCTTGTGTTTATAAGATCTTTGCGTTTGAGGCAATGGAGATTGGTGGCGCTATAGATTCAAAATATCACCTCCCTGATTCGGCAATAAATCATGAATATTTATTGTTCTTTCTCAGCACTGTCAGAACGGTTTCTACACACGTACAGTACATGTGATGCGACATGGCGAGGATGAAGAGTGTTGAACACCCCTTTTATTATAATTCTGAAATACATAGGCCTATTTTTGAAATGAATAATGATTAGGCTATAATTACAAAAAAATACTGTATACAGTTAGGCCTAGGCCTTATTTTTTAGGAATGTATATTCTCAGTCACGCATACCAAAATATAAATACTTATAAGTAGGCCTACGAAATGTATTTAGGCCTACTTGACGTAAATGCAGGAAAGTACAGTAATAATTAAACACAGTAATATAAGTCTAATAATTATCATGACAATGACAATAATTAAATAATGCTAATGGTGACAATAATGATGACGACCAAGATTATCAGTATCAACTTTGCTGATATAAGTTAATGGGACTTGTTTTCTAAAGCATCAACATAACTTAAAAATACAAACAATGTGTGATAAGTTTTACAATTAATTATAATGTTACAATGTTACTTACTGTGATCTTTTTTTTACAGTACTGTGTGTTTTTTAATGATTTCGGATACATTATCCGTGAAGTGGAATTTAACATAAACACAATAATACTAAATATTTATTCGGATACACCAAAGACCAACTACATTAAAATTATGGTAATATAATTAGTATTTTTATTAGGCCTACTGTACAGACACACACACACACATGTACTTCATAGGCAGATTCATAGATTCACATAAATTATAAATAAAACAATTTATGTATCTGCCTCAGAATGAAATATTTTTACGAGTACTGCTGTACTATTATTAGTAGTGTTACTGTATTATATTCTTATTTTGGTGTGTAAGTTTATGTACTCCGATGGCATTTAATAAATAATACGAACATTTGTTTGACCTACCTGACGTGGATAGCATTGAATGCTCAGTACATTCCCAAATAAAGTTGCGAAAAAAACCCGAATCAATTGCGAGATTGTTTTTGTAAGTATTTAAGAATGTACTGAGCATTCAGTACATTCCACGTCAGGTAGGGAAAACATCATTTCGTAGGTTTATAAACTTGTGCATTTACGTCAAGAAAAACACATTTCATGTGAGTTTTTATGTTGGTGCATAAACAATGTACGCGTGAGTGACAATACATTCCTAAAAAAACAAAGGCCGCAACAGTGTTTATAATTTTGTAGACAATAGCGTAATTATTATTTATTTTAGACATGTTCTGTTATAATAAATAAAAGGGTTCAAGTCTGTGGGCGTTCAGCTATTACTCTTCATTATAAGAAGACTACTACAGTAAGACTAGTCGTTGTTGTATGATCCCTACTATAGATGGTGGGCCTACTCGAGCCTTGGATATATCGCTTAACACAACAACGACAGGAAACTCTTATAAATATTCATTGCATCAAGGAGGCGTTACGTTGAATCTATTGCGCCACCAATCTCCACTGCCTCAAACGTCCAGGAAAAAAAATCATAAAATCTAAAGTAATAGAAGTCATGAAAATATTCATGCAAAAGAATCAGAAGCGATTAATCACCAGCTTTCATCTCATGGGAAAAACACATGAATGATACTGGATAAATGTATACGTTTAATAATATTTATTGATTTTATTTTAATACTTTTTACCTAGTTCTCCTGGGTTCCTGCCGGGTTCGGGCCCCGGGACACTAGACCCGGTTACCCCGCCTCTCGGCGCAACTGCCCCTGGCCTAACTCGTCGGGCAATCGGACCACAAAAAAAAGCAAACATAGGCCTACACCAAGCCAAATCATGTCTTTCATAGTCGTAGTGCCATTTCCGGCCATCCAGAGGTCCCTATTTAAAAAATTGTCATCTCCCAAACCCTCCCCTCCTCAGCGTACAATTTCAAGCTCCTGTCGGACAGCTTATCCCCCCCCCCCCAGAAAATGTATCCTAGAGCGGCCACTATCTAGGCCTTTAGGCCTATGCAGAATACGTTGTAAGGCCCTAGGCTACTGAAGAATCTGCACTAAATAGGACCTAGACCTAATTGTTAATACATAACTTTTATACAATACAAGTTGCAATACAGACATTGGAAAGTAAATATATTTAATTTAATTAAATATCTAACATTCCATTCCCCTTCTCTTTTTGTGCAATACGGTATAGCTGTTTTTGTGAAACACTAACAAGTAATAAATCTTAACTTCAGCAGTTATAAAAGTTCAGCTATACAACTTGTAATTTTAATTTATTAGGACCATTTTCTCTTCCAGTAAGATAATCTGTTCATGGGATTAATGTTGGGAAATCCACAGACTAAGCAAGGAGAGACTAAGTACAGTATTGTAGTACTACTAGTATACTGTAGGCCATTACATTGTTTTCATATTTTTCTGTGTGATTAAGGCCTAATCCCTACCGCGCTAAAATAAGACTAAATGCCTATGTTTTTCACTCTGTGTAAACCCATAAATTGATAATATTCCAGGGATCCTAATTTTGGAAAGAATATCACGCAGGACGATTTTTTTTTTCTTACATTGGTTGTACCATGGAGGAATGAGTTGCTGTGTTTTGCAATGATGTGTGATTACAGAGAGGGTCAACTCTGTGTCGAGCACGAACTATAACTGAAAAACGAACGCAGTGTATAGCTAAAATTATGCATGACGTCAACATACGAAGCCACGCCCTCGCCCTCTCGACTGAACCCGTTGTATTTAGCAAGTACCCCTTATCCGCTGTAATTTTCAACATCTGGGCTAAGATCTATTTTCTGCATTAGCGGTACACCTTCGGGACTCAAAAAAAAATGTCCCTTTAATAGGGGTGTCCCTGATAGGGGTACCCTATTCAGGGGACACTAACCAAAAACGTGAAATTGTCCCCTGAATAGGGGTTGTTGACATGTTTTCATCCAACGATGATATATTGTACATTCTTTATAATTTTATTTTTATTTACATAAGATTCAGTTACAGTAGAATTAGAACTAACTTATAGCAATAATTAGCAATGGCAAATTCACTTAGGCCTATAATATGAAATCAGCAGAAAAGTACCGGTACTTAAAAAAATAATAGTATATATATGGAGTAACACATGCAGTAGGCCTAAGACTATACTGTACATGCCGGTTTATTGCTCAAAAGGTCTCAAAATAAAAGGTGAATGATTTTTTTTTCTTATTTTAAGACTGTTGTACTAGTGATACATGAATAAAAATAAGTGTCTCCTTAATAGGGGTTATTTGACCGTCAGTGGCACACTCAGAATTGTCCCCGTCCCCTTCATAGGGGTTGGCTGTAGTGTTAAAAGATATATTGCCCCTCGTTTCTCGGAAAAGTGTCCCTTTAATAAGGATTTCCCCTGAATAAGGTTGTCCCAAAGGAGGGGTTCTACTTCTATTGCGATATCGCGAACTCTCGTTCCATGGACACTCACTAGGCCGAATTTTACTGGAAGGCGAGCGAAATGCTGCGTGGAAAGCATGTGTTAAATGTTGTAAACAAATACAATGGTGTGGGAGTCGTCGATCGTACAACGTTTCCCCTGAATAAGGTTGTCCCAAAGGAGGGGTTCTACTTCTATTGCGAAATCGCGAACTCTCGTACCATGGACACTCACAGGCCTAATTTACTGGAAGGCGAGCGAAATGCTGCGTGGAAAGCATGTGTTAAATGTTGTAAATAAATACAATAGTGTGGGAGTCATCGATCGTACAACGTTGACGAGAGGTAAATCCTGGATGGATAGTTCATCATTTTGTTGTTCGTCGTGTTACTAGATATTTTCTCTGGGGTAGGGTTCGACTTGCAGCAGCCCGATGTCGGCCTAGATATTGACAATTTGTACTGTAGTTACATACTGTAGGCCTACGTGTCCTCTCTACGATGTAGATTCCTTAAACTCAGATGGTTTAACCTTCCAGTACAACACTTTTTATGAAGTTTAAACATTCCAATTAAATAAATATCGTGAGTAAACTTTTTCTGAAATTGTCGTGAGTTCAGCATTTCTTATGGCCACTGTAATGCTAACAAGGACAAAGACTAAACCATTCGCGTCCCACAGATATAAATGCATGATAGGCCTATTCGATTTTTCGGTGCATATCCAATCTGTCAAAAATACAAACCTTAAGCAGAGTAGGCAACTGCATCATTGATGCTCTAGTTAATTTAATGGTATTTATAGTATCTAATCGAGCTACATGTACTAGATTGTAAACCATAGCTACAATAGTTCGAAACGAAATAACAACGATTCATAGACCACACTGTGAATAGAGAACAGCTTCCTGTCTACGTTAGGGTAAACAGAGCCATACAACTCTGGCATGCGTAAACATTAGTTGTCTATTTAGAGTTATTACTAAAACTAAACAATTAAAAGAAAAGAAGACTCACACGTTGCCAGAAGAAAATCAATACCTTACATATATGATAGCTGCATAAACTCGAAAATACGGGATTCTAACCGACAAGGTTGCTTTAATAGATATTAGAGAGAGAGAGAGCTTGCATTCAATTAATCGGGACGGACTTACTTTGAATTAAGAAAATCCAACCAAGGACACGCGTCATTATTCAATCGATATGCTTGAATGCATTTCAAAGCCTCGCCCTAAATCACTCTTAAAAACAGTTGTGTTTATCATATTCACTTTGTTAGTAGTCGATATCAGAACCTTTCCTGGCTAAAAAAAAACTTA